AGATCCATAATATCATATATTATGTAAAGACGAATATCCTCAAGAGTGTGGTGCAACATTCTACCAAGCCTAGTTCATTGCTTTGAGCCCTTTGAACACCCAAACCTGGGCTTCAGGGTGTTGAGGGTTCCCGTCATGCAGCTTCTGGCTTCAATGTGAGTATGGTCGTTTGACAGCATGACACAGGCTTAGGGCACGTGAGGCCGTCCGAAGGGGCCACAAAACACGGCCAGCTAGCCGGCTGGGCAGGGCATCTTCACTTAACTTGCAACTAAACTGCGCAATAATCATGCCACCTCTCAGCATAAGAGCTTGCGCTTTGCGGTCGCCATGGCTCTGAAACGACCGGCGGCTTCTGGAGCGGCCCTGGATTCGGACGGAGAGGAGATCGATCCAAATGCAGCTCGTCATCGTGATCAGATAGGACCAGATTTTGATAATTGAATCGGTTGTTGTGGAGTTTCAGAAGAGGTAGCAGGATTCACGCTGCAAGCGGAACCAGGTTCTCCATATTGGGTAAGTGTTGAATAAGCGGTTCGGGGGGCGGGGGTCGTTCTCGGCCGGATGCTAAGGCTCAGATAAGTTATACTAGTTCCCGCGAATCCGTTGGATTGATATCTGATAGCGTGCTCATCAACTTCAGCACACCTGTAGCTTTGCATGCCTACCGACGAGTTGGTTAATAATATAATTATTGATCATTCTCTTGTAATCGGGCATAAGAAGGGCTTTAGGTATTTTTATTTCGATCGAGTCTGAGTATGTCGCAGCCTTAATCGGTTTAATCATAAAAAGCAAACTTCCTTGAACTTTGATGCACATCCTATACTCTGCGAACAAATCTCTGAAAGGTGATCCGTGTTCCTCGCGGAATGGCGCCTCCGAGACCGGACAGGTTCGCGGCAGGCGTTGCTCAGCTTGGCATTGTTAAAACGTTTCTTGTGGGCGAATAGACCTGGTCTGGATTTCAAGTTCGTAAACCTTATTGGCCTCTGAGTAATAATTTAATACTTGTTGTGCACTCCTGAGTTCCTGTAAGGAAGGAACCGACAGGACGCTGGAAAGACGTCGCCTGCGGAAACTCCAGCTGGAGCGACAGAAGGTGCCAGAACTTATCATCACTTCAGATGTCCGTTTTTAAGTGTAGTATGGAGTCATAGTATGGAGGTTTACTTCGTGATATTGTAAATATCACGAGAAGTAGCCTCCTTGTCAATCAGGCAGCGAAGGCGCAGCAGAAGCTCCAGAAGGCCAATGCCAAGGCCAAAGCTGCTGCCGCTGCTGGTAAGACTGCTTGGACGGGCAGCGAGGTCCTTGACGCCAGGGCAGATTTCAGCAGGGTATTGGGTTTGATCGAGCACTTCTTTTGAGATCACCCTTCCTACGCAACCTCGCCCTAAGTTGTATCGCCCGAGGATCTGTGCAAGCTTCCCTTCGACATGATGAAGGAAATGGCTGTGCTGCAAGGACAGTGCGGCACAGCTCAAGCCGCACTTGCGCAGATCGAATCTTGGCTTCCGATGATGTACTGCTTGGTCGGGGCAGCGTTTCATCCGAGAGGGGTTCGGGCTGGTAGTAAACACGTACGAAAATAGATTCTAAGAGAATGAAACATAAGTGCAATAATATAGACTAGACATAATTATGTATTTCGAGTAAGAAAGAAAGAGAGAGAGAGAGAGAGAGAGAGAGAGAGAGAGAGAGAGAGAGAGAGAGAGAGAGAGAGAGAGAGAGAGAGAGAGAGAGACTTTTGTCGAGGATGACATTTCACGGCATCCGGACATCATACTTCCAGTTCAATCCTCAGAAGGTAACGGTAGAGCCGGTAGAAGCTGCCCCAATCATTTCTTTCATACTTGTCTTCAGAAGGGCACCACTATTACAATCTCTTGCTTTTACCAGGGACTTTGGCGCTTGCATTCTTAGTCTTTGACTGACTTATTGCCTAGGACCCGCTTCACCCGGCGCTGGCTGGGCTTGGATATGGTGCAGCGGCCAGCGGCAGCAGTGGTGCCAGGGGCAGTGGGGATCCGGCCAAAGCTCCTCCACCAGGTTTTGCCGAGCCGAAGGCCAAGGGCGATCGAAAGGGCAAAGGCGAGCTGCTGAAGGGCCAGGGCGAGTTGCAAAAGGGCAAGGGCAAGCTGCCGAAGGGCAAGGGCGAGTTGCTGAAGGGCAAGGGCGAGCTGGGGAAGGGCCAGGGCGAGTTGCAGAAGGGCAAGGAGCTGCCGAAGGGCCAGGGCGAGTTGCCGAAGGGCAAGGCCGAGTTGCCGAAGGGCAAGGGCGAGCTGCCGAAGGGCAAGGCGAAGGGAAAGGGCGAGCTGCCAAAGGGCCAGGGCGAGGCTAGAAATCCCAGTTTTCGGGAGCTTCAGTTTAGCTACTTTATGTAGCTGCGCAGCTGCGCCTGGTGCGACAATGGCTTGGTGGATCCCATGAAAAGTGCCGCTTCTTTTGATGTCATTGGTCAGCTCACTTTCGAATCATTTGTAGGTCTGAGTGAGATTGAGGGTGCATTCGTTCTGCACTGGTAGCCTTGACAACTCAGTATCGCTCTGCCTCGTGACATTCCTTTGATCTGTCTTCATCCGATTATATCTCTGGCAGGACCAGCCGCTGCTGCTGCCGCCGCTTCTCGTGGCTTTGGGGGACAAGGCGCAATCTTATCTCTTGCGGATTGTCGGTGGTGAGAGCATGGGCATGAGCATTCACGAGCGGTACCATTGCAGCGGCAGTGGGCTTTCAGCTTTGATTGCATAGTGCAGCCGCCATGTCTGGTCCCGGTGCTCGGGCCCATCGAAGGCGGGTGGCACTGGATGCCATGAATGTCCCTCGGCTAGGGTTAAGACGTTTGCATGCGTGGGTCTCAGTCATGTTTCTCTGGATATCATCTCCATCTTGCCTGTGGTCAGGAGATCGCTGCCCAGGAGGACATCGAGATCTGGTTCAAGGGGAACGGTTGCTTCGTGTACCTGGCCACTAATAAGTGGAGTGGATGCTGTGAAAGTGTCCTCAGGGACAACCTCGATCCTAGCCTGCATTATTATGGACGGTGTGCTTCAACTTCAGCCCGGAAGATTGTGCTAGTCGGTCTTCATCATAAACAGTATCAGCTGGTAATTACTGGTTGGTTTAGTCTTGCTGTATTTGTTGTAGAGACAGACACACGTCGAATCATTCGCATCACGTCTAAACAACCCGGGACACCCAAAGCCATCTCAGCTTAGGACCTTCTTACGCCTCTTGGATGTTGCTGGGCGAAGAACAGATTCATGAATACACGGACGCGATTACGGAAGATGCTCGTTGGGGTAGCCACCCTTGCCTGGGACGTGAAGGCAGCTAGGCCCAATTGCTACATGTAGAGTCGAAACATCATTTTACCTGATATATTTCTGCTTAGTAGTTCATTCAGGAAACGGACCTCGATATGGACAAGATCAAGAATGATGTGAAGATGCTGAAGTCCATGCTTCTGGGCTTTAAGCGCTCCTTGGCATCAAATTGTGGCTTAGGAGCTCAGATCTCCATGGAGCGAGTTCAGCTCAGGTTTGGCCGAGCGACGCGACAAGCATCGCGACGTGGAGCTTCAGAAGTTGAAGGTGTCTTTGCTAGATAACGAGGATGATTGTATTCATCTCTCATTCTCAATCAATCGGCTTGTGTGCTTGCCGCCTCAGGATCTCATGCAAAGCCACATGGAGGGCGAGTTCTCTCTGAAGTTTGAAGTTCGGCGGGAGAAGGCTTGGTTTATTGCCACTGCAACGAAGTTCTTGCGACGTGCCTCATGTGGTGTTAACAAGGTTGGGCATCGCTGCTTGGACCAAGCACTTCAAGACGGTGACCCTGAAAATGCTCTGCCACTCTTCTGTGTTCGTAGGCAAGCTGTGCATTAAAAGCTACTGCTGTGTTTCTTTTCCCATGCCAAGGGCAGGGCAGGAGCCGAACTTGGAGCCCAAGCGCCGCAAGGTCGCCAAGAGCCTGAGTAAGGATGACATCACTTTGCTGAAAGGGTTCGCTGGCGAGCATTAAAGTGTATCGATCGATGTCAATATTCGTACCATGAACTATTGCTGCGCCGTTTTTTCAACTGGTCTGAGGCAGCTGCGCCCAACGAAATCCTACCGCATCGAGGTCAACTGGAAGGCTGCCAAGGTGCACGTGCGAAAACGCGGGCAGCTGCAGAAGACCCTTTACACTTTCAGCAACAGCCAGAGTTACACGGTTCTCGTGGAGATGGCCAACCGCATAGCTGCCGGCCATCAATTTTTGGCTGATTGATCTTCGGATTTCCAGTGAGAAGGTTATGCTTTAGAGGTTTAGGGTAGTAATTGACCCCGCTGACCATCCCAACTGGATAGGTGCCCGACACACTGCTTATCATTATTTCTTCAGACTGCATTATTTCAGTACCAATTCTGCTTCCTATTACCAAATATACTATATTCCACTCTGGCTCTGCCTCTTTGCATCCAGATCTGTCTCGTAGAATTACAATGCTAAGCATTACCCATTCCTCTTTGAGTCACTGTTTCGTTTTCTTCGTCGTGCATGCTGGGCCTGGGGAGCGAGGCGAGACTTAAGTGAGGTATCGACCTTGAGAATCTGAGGCTACGGTGCTTGAAGCTGATCCACACGCATCCGCTCAGAAGCTGGCTGCCGCAGAAGAGGAGATCTATGCCGACATTGTGGCGGTGCGTGGCAGTGCTCTTGCGTCTTTGCTCTGAGTCTGAAACAGGTCAGGGCAAGAAGGGGGTATGATCGATGTCTGAGGCGATCGTAAAAATCTTCGCACCTGTGTCGCAAACCTCCCATGTTTTCCAGGCATCGCACGCTCATGTGTTGGGCTTGTCTCGACGCGCAGTCTCAGGCTGCACTCACCTGCTTTCGGATTTCTCTGACTGTGCTCAGGGCGATTGAGTCAGATTCAGTCTAGTAGTAAGCTTGGGGCCATGGTTCTCAGTTGGCGATCCAGATTGAATGATCTGGAGCAGCTGGCCAAGCGGATGCGCTCCAGACGCTCTCCTTTGCTGCCTTGGGGGCCCGGCATAAGCTTGGTTTCGGATTGCGCCGGCCAAGGATCTGTTCCCCAGGCCCTTGCGCATCTTGGCATCCAGGTTCGGGTGGCTGTTGCCACGGAGCTGGACCCGAACAAGCGAGCTTTGCTCAAGGTCGTGCATGAGTCCATTGGCTGCAAAGTGGACAGGATGATGGCAGATGTGTGACAAGGCGGCATGGTGTTGCATTTTTGGGTATGCACGCACATGTGTTGATTTGGCTTGCGTGCTGGCGTGGTGTCTTTGCAAGTCTTGTTGCTGAAGACTCCAGGCACGAGCATCTGGAGTTCCTTCGCGGATGCAAGGCGTCTTCGTGGTCTACCCCGGATATCTTCGAGGCGGGTTATCCTTGTCAGTCATTCACACGATCCGGACTGAAGAAGGGAATCGAAGATTGCCGAGGGCAGGTTTGGTTGGCAGGGTTGGAGAATATATCCCGGACCCAAGCCAGAGCCTTCGTCCTCGAGCAAGTCCCGGACATCGAATCTGATATAAAGTTCCGCCCGATGTTTCTCCGCTCTCTTGATGTTCTTCGTGCAGCCGGATACCAAGTCGATTATAAGATTATGGAGACCAGTCGCAATGGACTTCCACAACATCGCCGACGTCTCTATGTTCTTGGTGTTAGAACAGACGTGAAGATGATTCTTGGCAGCACTGATTGGTACTCGGTGGCCGTATTACGAATTTAAGTTTTGCCTGTGTGGCGTTCACCTCGCGTGATCCAATGCCAAGGAAGTTGAGTCTGGAGGATGTTTTCCCTTCAGATATGGATCCGGTTCCTGTTCATGCGGTCCTGAAAATGAGAGTTCAGGGTGACATCAAGAAGCTCAGCCGGGGTCGGTGCAAGACCTTCAAGAATCACTTGAAGAAGGCACGCATCAGAGAGCATTGCTTGCTGCCGCTCTTCTTGATGAAGACTTCCGAAATAACGGACATGCGCTGTTGCCGCTGCCAGGTGAAGAAGCTGGGGCTTTCGAAGGAGTACGGCACACGTTCCGGAAGTTTGTCCGTGATTGACATGGCCGGTTCCTGCTTGAACGTGGGCAAGAATCTCTTCCCCACGATAACTGCCACCCGGGGCCAGAGAACGCCATATTTCGTCCCTGCCCTGGGACGAATGGCGGATGTTCAGGAGATGTGCCGTTGTCAGGGTACCTGGTCGCAAGTCCATTGAGTTGGTCATTGTTACTGATTAGTCTGGTCCCGATTGTAATCTGATAGAACCCACACCATCAAAGCTTCGAGGTCTGGATGACAGACTTATGAGTGCCATCTCGAAGGCAGGGATTCGGAGCTCTGTGATCGGGCATGCGACTGGCAATGCCATGACAATTTCCCTTGTTGAGCGGCTGATGCTTCGATTGCTGTGGTCTCTCGGCTTCTTCGAGCACTTGCCAGCTGACAGATGGCAAGCAGCCCAAACCCAGGCTCTGCGTGCCTCTTCGGGATAGGGGTTAAAAAAATTTAATAAGGATCAAAAAAAAATTAAATAAGGATCAAAAAAAAATTAAATAAGGATCAAAAAAATTAAACGGGTATCCGCGAAAGGAAGGGGAAAAAGGAAGGAAAGAAAGACAGAGAGAGAGAGAGAGAAGGAAAGAAAGAAAGAAAGAACGAACTAAAGAAAGAAAGGAAGGAATAAAGACAGAACGAAAGAAAGAACGAAATAAAGAAATAAAGAAACAACAAAAGAAAGAAATAAAGAAAGAACAAAAGAAAGAAAGAAATAAAGAAAGCCATGCAAGAAAGAACGAGAGAGAGAACGAAAGAACGAAAGCAAAAACGACAGAAAGAACGAAAGCAATAACGAAAGAAAGAACGAACCAAAGAAAGAACGAAATAAATCAAACCAGAAAGAAAGCAAGAAAGAAAGGAAGGGAGTATGAGATGAACAAAGAAAGAACAACAGAAAGAAAGAAAATAGATGAACGAGCGAAAGACAGAAAGAAGTCCATACTAAAAAAGCAAAGTTGGAAAAGACGAAAGAGAAAGAATATGAAATAATCACCGAAACAAAGATACAAGCAACAGGATACTACATAGTCCAATCGAATTTACCATAATATCGTAATGTACCGTAACATAATATGTCATAATGTAACCTAATGTTATAAAATATACTACATATTATGTTGTAAATATACACACTGTATTGTACTATGTTACAATGTACTACACTATAAACTAAGATGTTGTTTTGTTCTATGTCATCTTCTGTTATATTGCATTGTTGTATTTTAGTATGCTGTTATATGCTATAAGAAGCAAGGTTCTGTTATGTCAGAAAATGTCACACCATTTTTGTGTTGTCGAACCATCTTATGTCGTTCTTCTGGTTTACTATGTTATATATATATTTGGTTAGAATGCTAACGGAAGAAGAGACACGAACAGGCGCGGAAGAACAAAACACCCGCCGCCGCGCTTTTCGAGACGTGCAAGCTTGATTCAAAGAGTGTTTTCGAAGCCCATCATGTGAACGTTGTCTCTGCAAATGGGGGGGGCTGCGCCCCCCCAACCCCCCCGCTGTTTTAAGCCGTGCAGGGTTGCTTTGAAGCATATGCCTTTTTTTGAACCCCAGCAAATGAGGGCGTCTCCGCCCTTGTAGATACATGCTGAACCAGAATCGCCAAATGAGGGGCGTGTTTAAGATAGATGATGAAGCGGAATACCAGCAACAGCTACAACAGGAAATCCGTCCTAAATGTGAAATTGGAAGGAAAATTTGATTTTCCCGAGGAACAACCATATGTTGTCCTTCTGAAAACCTGAAGAAATGACACGAACGCCATAGGTAATAGGAAAATAGGGTTTTGCCTACGAAAAATCAAGGAAAACGTAGGCAAATTGCTGTATCTAAAGAGGACGAAAGAAAGGACAACAGAAAGAAAGAAAGATAGAACGAGAGAGAGAACGAAAGAACGAAAGCGAAAACGAGAGAAAGAACGAACGCAAGAACGAAAGAAAGAACGAACCAAAGAAAGAACGAAATAAATCAAACCAGAAAGAAAGCAAGAAAGAAAGGAATGGAGTATGAGATGAACAAAGAAAGAACAACAGAAAGAAAGAAAATAAATGAACGAGCGAAAAAAGAAAGTCCAGAATAAAAAAGCAAAGTTGGAGAAGACGAAAGAGAAAGAATATGAAATAATCGCAGAAACAAAGATACAAGCAACAGGATACTACATAGTCCAATCGAATTTACCATAATATCGTAATGTACCGTAACACAATATAACATAATGTAACCTAATGTTATAAAATATACTACATATTATGTTGTAAATATACACACTGTATTGTACTATGCTACAATGTACTACACTATAAACTAAGATGTTGTTTTGTTCTATGTCATCTTCTGTTATATTGTATTGTTGTATTTTTAGTATGCTATTATATGCTATAAGAAGCAAGGTTCTGTTATGTCAGAAAATGTCACACCATTTTTGTGTTGTCGAACCATCTTATGTCGTTCTTCTGGTTTACTATGTTATATATATATATATTGGGTTAGAATGCTAACGGAAGAAGAGACACGAACAGGCACGGAAGAACAAAACACCCGCCGCCGCGCTTTTCGAAACGTGCAAGCTTGATTCAAAGAATGTTTTCGAAGCCCATCATGTGAACGTTGTCTCTGCAAATGGGGGGGGCTGCGCCCCCCCAACCCCCCCGCTGTTTTAAGCCGTGCAGGGTTGCTTTGAAGCATATGCCTTTTTTTGAACCCCAGCAAATGAGGGTGTCTCCGCCCTTGTAGATACATGCTGAACCAGAATCGCCAAATGAGGGGCGTGTTTAAGATAGATGATGAAGCGGAATACCAGCAACAGCTACAACAGGAAATCCGTCCTAAATGTGAAATTGGAAGGAAAAATTTGATTTTCCCGAGGAACAACCATATGTTGTCCTTCTGAAAACCTGAAGAAATGACACGAACGCCATAGGTAATAGGAAATAGGTTTTTCCTACGAAAAATCAAGGAAAACTTAGGGAAATACCACGGAATCCGCAGGAATATCGTGTTTTGCAGAGCAAAAACCAGACAGATCCTAAGGAAACACAAGAAAATCCGTAGGAAAACAGTGTTTTCCATTGGAAAAATTCAGGAATTGCTGTATTTAAAGTGATTTAATTTTTTTTTGATCCTTATTTTATTTTTTTTGATGCCCCTGCCCCAGGAATTGCTGTATTTTGCGTGATTTAATTTTTTTTTGATCCTTATTTTATTTTTTTTTGATCTTTCCATTTAATTTTTTTTGATCCTTATTTAATTTTTTTTTTGATCCCTCACCCGGCTCTTCCGGCTATTCCGGTTATTGGCGCGATGTACAGGCCAGATCCAAGATGGATTTGAAGCGGTGATGCCTCGAAGGCTCCGTATGACAGGGATGTTGGTGGATTGATTGAAAATTAAAACCTATGCTTCTTTAGTAGCCTTGCCGTGGATTGAACGGAAGCCATTACCGGACCATGATGAGTGGAGGGGATATCCACCGTCTTAGCCTTGGAAGAGTGATTTCGCCGAGGACGCCAGAATCAATGACCGCTGTTGCGCTTGGAGTCTGCCGTGCTGTGCCATACATTACCAGCTCGTGTGCGCTTGTGAAGTCATAAGTTATTCATGACAATGCAGTGCATTCTTTCTGAGCTGTTAGCCCGTGCTGCAGCACTTTGCGCTTAAGTTTTGCTGTTACGGCCTTTTTGTGCTTCAGCTTGCTCAGGCGACTTGGATTAATCTTGTCCAGTGAGTCAAATGACATGTATCATGCGGAGTCAAAGCAAAACGGTTCAGTCGTTCAATCCACAAGGCCGTTCTTATTATGGCAACGACGGGCAACGGCAAGGGCTCTGGCAAGGGCAAGGGCAAGGGGTCGATTCAGGATATCTCGGCTGAGAAGCTGGCCTTTGCAATGGCCCAGAAAGAGGTCACTCACTCTTTTCTGGAGGGTGTGGTTCATCAGGTTTGCTCCAGCCACCGGAGGCGCGTGGTGACGTTTGGCCTTGTTCGGAAGAAGAAGACTGAGACGGGGGCCGAGGGCGAGACCATGGTGTACTCGGCCGACTGCCCCAATTTCATCAAGGTGCTGAACAAGTTCATCAAGCAGCATGCTGCCGTGAAGCTGGGCTCCCGGGCAGAGTGCAGTTCTCAGAGCTCTGGATTGCCTTTCTTGTAAATTAAATACTGTGTCGTGTCAGCTTCGATGCACACTCAGGAACTTCTACTACAACAAGATCACGATTGAGAAAAACCCTCCGCGAGGGTACCGCACCATGACGGTGCACTGTGCGAACTCCCTCTTTCATTGGATGCTGTGGTCCTGTGGTAAGGACACTAACCCACAAGGCTGGGTAGGTTAGGCTTGCCCTTCTCCTGATTCAGCAGTTGTGCCTGGTACTTTCGGACGAAAAGCCCATGCTTTTGCTGCAGGTTGTGCGCTGTACTCCGATGGGGAGTCTATTGGAGGGACCACGATTGAGCGGGCGACGCACCACCAGGAGCTTCAACGAAGTGATCGTAGGACTTTTGCAAGTCAGCAAAACCGAGTGTGATTGTGCATGATTGTGCGATGCGAGGTGCAGTTCATCGATCCCAGAGCCGCTTCCTGCCTGTCGACTTCCCTGAGCGGAGACGATGTCGCGTGCAGCTGCCCGAACAACTACATTGTGATCGTCGGCGCCTACAACGCCGACAACTTGGACAAGCTGAAGCGGTTGCTGCCGGCGGGCGTTGAAAAGTCGATGATGGGTGCCTTTGCCAAATATAACATAGGCCACGCTACTGAGTGTGCATGATAGATAATCTTCTGAATCTGCCAAGGTCATGGCTTTCCGAAAATGGGCAAGGCGACTCTGACGTGCCTTCCACAGGCCATGTCTTCCGGCCCCACCCGGGTGAAAGTCGCCATTTCGAAGTACCGCTCCGCGGAGAGGGCGGCCAAGCTAGCTGCTGAGGAGGCCAATCCGTCTTCCAAGCGCAGCAATGAGTACTGCTCGCAGTGCTCCTGCGAGAGCTGCCGTGCTCACAAGAAGCGCAAAGTGTCGCAGTCGACCAAGCCGACTGCCTGAATAGTGGGTTTGCGAAGGGCCTTTGCCTCCTGGCCTTTTGGGCTGTGAGTCCACGTTGGATTTTAAACGGTACTGCACATTATCTCGGTCTGTTTGAGTGTCAACATCACGGTCGCCAGAGGCAGTCGCCTTCGCAGGCTCAGTCCGAGATTGGGCATTCGTGCAGCATCCGCACAGTATGCTTGAAAAAGGCCGTCGGCGTGTATGGCTGTCGATGTGTGCCATGGACAATTGTCCAATCATGCCTGGTGCTCATTTCATATGCCCTGCTGGCAGGTGGCTGTGCCTGCCCGGCAAGATTTCAGAGCAGGAACCCCAGATTGTGATCAGACGTAGTTCGCACTTAGTCGTCAGTGTCATGCGAGTGCAGCTGTAGCAAAATGGTTGTTTGGATTCCTGTCTTCCGCAATGGGGGTGTGTGCCCTCCCTGCACAGGACAGAGGTCGGGCCGACCGCTGTCTTCAGCAAGAGGGGTGTGCATCCCCTCTGCACAAGACAGAGATGCTGGAAGACTCGCAAGGGCTGGGTGATTTCTTGTCTTGTGCAACGGGGGTGTGTGCCCTCTCTGCACAGGACAGAGGTCGGGCCGACCGCTGTCGTCGGCAACGGGGGCGTGCGCTCCACCTGCACAAGACAAAGATCTGTGGCTCTGCCCTTATTCTTCGTTTCTCTCCTTTGCAGACGAATAACACCTTCCCGTGTTCGGCTACTTGAGGCTTCTCTGTGCTGGCAAAGAACGCGGATGCCTTGCGACTTCAGTGACTGATGCAGGGTGCTTACATTGGCAGTTAGCGGTGCAGGGGGTGCTGGCCCGGCAGTTATTTGTAGCAGCTGCACTATCACGTTGCGCGCACGGTCACAACTCCTGCCTGACAAGTTTTCCTGTGGGTTCAAACGGAGCCCCTAGCTGGAGCCTGCTCTGGCGGTGCGGTGCTGCTTGCTAAGCAATGGCACCCAAGAAGCCGGGACGTCGAAGCTTGAGTAGCAAGAAGGCGCAATGACAAGCTCCTAAATTCCTACATTTACATTAGATAGGACATGCTGGTAGATCCTCGGCATTGGCAGGCAGATTCCTTTGACTCCATCCCGGTGCCGGAGAGAGAAGCCGTTCGCGAGGTTTGTGACGTGGCTTCAGTGCATGATTGTTGGATTTTGGAGGGACTGACTGGATCGGGGAGGTTCTGTGCTTGGCTGAGGCAGTGCGATAGAGGGCCTCAAGGGCATGGGTCTGTGGCCGAGCGAATCGGCAAAGTGCTCCTCAAGGAACGGTATTTCAGGCTTCCCTAGCGGGTGGAAGTCCAGTGCCGGCTCGGATTACAACTTCATCGGCACCATCGCTGACATAGACTTCACGGTCAACCATGACAATGCGACCGGGCAGATGTTGCGCAGCAGTGCTGAGTATTGGTTCACCACTGACATCCCTGCCCTGAGCTGCACGGTGCATCCGGGTCGTGGCAGGCTGGGGATTTTGGTGTTAGGACCACATGTCTGTGGTCTCATATAAAATCACTTGTGGGGTTGCATGGGGTTGCTCTGGCCGGCCTCTCGTGTGCCTCTGCCTTGTGAAATGTCCTGTTCTTAGATTCGTGGTGCCAGGGGGAGCTTGGAACTGCAGACCCAGTGGCCAAGAATGGCCGCTTTTGTCATGAGTTGGAAGGAGAAAGTGGATCAGAAGGCGCCGAAGGACGAGCTTGAGGCCTTCAAATCCACGAGCCTCTCGCTTCACTTCAGCATTCGTGCCAAAGATGCGGATCCTTTGGCGGGATTCTGGAAGCGGTATCAAGCCGCCGAAGATCTGGTGCAGAGTGCCATCGAGACTGGCAATGGCTACGCCTTGAAGCTCTGTGATCGCTACGTGGAGCGTCTCGGCTAATTTCCACCCGAAGTTACGAGGTAACCGTAGCATCCATATTCATATAACTCCAGTCATGTGGAAAACGAGGTTGAAAGCTCTTCTGGTGGCGCTGGGAAAACCGGCGACGCCGGACACAATGTTCGAAGAACTACAAGCGGCGAAAGCCAAAGACATCGTGCGCTTCGCAAACGCCGAAACAACTGTAGGCTCCGCCGATCAGATTCGGAAGCTCCTGCGGCTCGTCGACGTGTGCACCCAAGCAGGCGTCTATCCTCTTTTGAAGTCGCTCGGCATGCAGCTTCTCGAGACCACTTTCTGTGCGTGCGAGTGTGTCTGCGTGTTTTGGACTCTGTGGCTTCTCGCGTGTGAATGAATGAGGTCATTGCAAATCATCGGCTCCGAGCGTACCTGGGTCAGTCGCTGGACCACAGTCCAGCGACTACCAGGGTTCGTTGGCCAAGTGCCGGCGCATTGCGAGTGGTCGGTGCAAATGATCGCGGTGGCGATGAGAGGCGACCACGACGAAGTGCAGCGCAACCTGCACCACGACCCCCGCTTCCTGACGCCGAACACCTTAAAGGTGGGTTGACGGGATGATCAGATTGAATGGTGCTAGGGCTATTTCTGCAGATATGAATAATAGATGTATGTTTACAAATGAAGTAAGACTACCAAACAGCGCCAGCATGTTTGTAATGATTTTAAAGGTGGCGTCATGCCAGCCGCGCATGTGAGTTGCTAAAATGCCAAACCAGTCAAAGCTGCATTCCAGAAAGAATGTGATTATTATTGAGGCAGGCCAGAAGCCAGCAGCGGTCACAGTGACAGTTTGAAGTGCATAGATTAGTGATGTGCCCCGGCTATAGCAGAGTATGTATACCGGTACTTATAATTATACGCATGAGTTGAATATATTTTATAGACTTGTATTTAATATACATATATGGTCCTGATATGCATGGTGTGCATACGGCATCCCACCATGGTGTGTTATCAACAAAGACGTCTCGGTCGTAGTTGCAATGTGTAACATGGCAGCGGTTGGACAACAGCAAATTCCCGTTTCAGAAAACCAGTGGTACACATCAAGGGTTTCTCGACAACAGCGTCCGGAAGTGAATACCTGTCAGGATGTGGTGGACTTCCTGCTGACGCTGCGAAAATGGTTGGAAAAGCTCCACTCCGACTTTCAGCTGCCAGATGGCCATTCCTGCAAGGACGCATTTGAGGTGGCAAAGAAGAGCTGCCTGAGCCTCAAGAGCTTCACTGAGCGGGATCGAGCTTGCAAAGGACATCCAGGGGTTCAGGTGGCTTTTCGTTACGATGCGATTTGATGGATTGACCATGATGTTTTAGAAAATCCAGCAGGATGCCTTCCGGGCGAGCTCGTGGTCTGTGTGCAGCTCATGGAAGACATCATGATTGGGAAGCACGATGTCGCGCTTTGGGGGGTGGTCATGGGCCAGGCGACTGCCAGCTTCGAAACACGGATGGGACATGCCACCATCCTGAAGGTGACGAAGCAAGCTGATGACGCGTGCCTTGACCCGTAGTTTGCAGTGCTTAATTCACTGTCATTCAACTTTACTTCTCTTTGCTTCCAAGGTTGAAGAAATTCTTGCAGCCACAGGCACCTGTGCCTCAGGCTGCCCCAGTGGAGGCCGCTATGGATGGCAGCGACCAGGAGGCAGAGCTCCCCACTGCTGCAGGGGCTGGTCGAGTTCGCGAGCGAGCACGACTGCTTCAAGAAGCTGCGTCGTCGGAAGTGGCGACCTTCGTGTCGACGCTGGTGCATGACCACCAGGATGCGGCGAAGCTCAACAAGGTGTTATTGGAACACACAGCGGTCCAGAGACCTGTGGCCAAGGACACCCGGCTCCTCGTGCATTGGGACTGGGCTAAGGAAGCCGAAGCGTCCCAGACGTTTACTCGCAGCCACAACATATTTGAGCGCATACCGGGGATGTGCCGGAACAGGGCTTTGATCTCATGCTTGGCGCGAAGCAAGAGGCCTGGGGCTAAATTGGTGTTTGAAGCTCCGTGTAGTGCCGTGTAGTACTGTAACACGTAGCTGTGGAAACCAGGCCATGCTGCTCTGTTTCGACAGTGGCAATGCGACCTCCAACTCGGAGATGCGGAAAGGGAAGAAAATGTATGAGACGGTGTCCCTGCACTTGTTGCCCAGCCAACACGACTTGAAGAAGCGAGCGAACTATCGGCTTTCGGCCGGAGGCAACAAGCGCCGACGCACCAGTGCCGACAACATTGGATGCCTTTCTAAGATTTGTGGGATGGAGACCGCGATGTTTTGCCACCACCCGGAGCACCCGCCAGAGGCAAAGCCGTTCCAGTATGTCAGCGCGCCTGGGCTTCCCAGCTGCAGATTCATCGGCATGTGCATGCATGTGTTTCGAGCGGTTTCTGTTGGTATGTGTGAAAGATTGGTTTTGATAAGGATGGAAGATTCCAGCATGGGATGGCTTCCAGTTCCTTTGCTGGACCCGGAAGACTTGGAGACGGTTCCCATGGCCTTCAAGCAGTCGGCAGGGCTGTTCTTTGAGTGGCAGTCGTGTGCTTGATCTAGTAGTGGGCCTAGTGGGGGACCCGCTCCTGCAAGCAGGTGTTGCGCGTGCCGTCCAAGACCTCGAATGCTTATGAGAAGAATCCCCTCCCCGCAGAGCTGGACCTCACGGAAGAAGTGCCTCTGAGTCATTTTTCAAGGGCTCCTTGCGTCTGTCGTGAGCTCCTCCATCAAGCATCGGCGGGTCGACTCATCGACCTGTCCCCAAACGGCCTGGACTTTGCTTTGCAAGCGATTCACATGCGTATCTTCACCATCCTGGTGTGCCGAAATGATGAGCATGCAACGGCTGCTTGTCTCAGGAATTACGAGGGGGAGTTGATGCATGGATCAGTTTTCTGTTGCAGGGTCGGTGTCTGTTATCAATGCAGCAGGTTCTGAAGGAGAAGCTCCAGAGCATGGTTGCTCGAATGATGGACGATCCTGGCAATGAAAGGTTCTTCGTCAGCAATGCCACTCTCGGCATTGAGGCGGAGGAGGATTCGCAGCCTGATGAAGGCAACGGCAATGGTGCAGATGAGAATGAGGAGGCCGCCGCAGGGCACGATGGCGATGACGGCGAGAATGCAGGAGAACGCTCGCCTGGCCTGGTGTCTGTAGCCGGATGATCGACGGGATTTCCGTTGCGGTGCTGGCCGTGATTTTAATTTTGGCATGATGGTGCTGTATGGACCCATGATGGCCAGTCTCTGTCTTAGCAGTTGGGCCACTGAAGAGGGCAGCCAGTCAGACACTCTAGCTGAGACTCTAGCTCACTTTTTCCGGGTCTTGATGATATTGACCAAAGCTTAAGACACAATCGATGCGTTGAAGGTGGCTGGCTGACGTTACATTTTCTCTTCTGGTCGCAGAGGACCGCAGTGAAGCGACGGACCAGTGGGGCGACAAAAGAAGAGGTAGTGAGCAAGCGTTGAGTGTGCAGCTCGTTGGAGTAGGAGCTCGGCCGTGCATCCGAATGTGATTCCTTTGACTGTAACTGCATTACCGTGCCTCCCAGGTCCATCGACGTTGATGGCTGATCTCCGGCCGGGTGCTTGGCTGTGAACAGTACTGAGCACTGGATGATGCTGACGAGCAAGATTGACCCACTGAACCACGTAACATGATGATGCTTTAGCAGACAGGGTCAACTCGGATAGGGAGATTTGAGCGTTGGCCGCAGGAGGCGACCTTTTGCCGGCCGGTCACGACTCGAAGGCTGGCATCTCTCTCATTTGCGTGCTGGCAGCCCGACATTTGAATCACGTTATTGCTTATCAGCAACAAGACCGTTGTTTGAGCGAAGTCTGCCTTGCAGGCATTTTGCCCGATAGGTTACCGGTATGCGTGCGGCATGGATAGCTTGATATGAACCTGCTATTCTCATTCGTTGTCTGAGAGTTTGGACAAGATAAGTCAGTGAAGCACAAGCTCTATCATATCGCGAGAGGCTTCATAGGCCATGCCGGAATTCTTTGGCGGGAGCAGTGGCTCGAGTGCGGCGCCTGCTGAGGGCACGCGGCCTGCTGCTAAAAAGCGGTCAGCCAAGACGGCTGTCGGTGAAGCTGAGGAGGGGAGCGCATGAAAGATCAGATTATTGGCAAGGGCTTGGGGTCTGGGGACGTTCCCCAAATCAAGGTCCAGAATGATGGATCAGCTCTTCTTGAGCAGCGAGTTCTTGCTCTTGGGGTTTGTTGTGTTCGTGGGCAGGGAACATATTATTCAGGATGAGGTATGGAATTAACAAAATAAACATTGTTACGAGTGAAGCATTGTTTGGGTCTGCCGGCCTTTATAATTATGCAAGGTCCTCACTCTATTGCAAAGTTGCTTTGTCGGTTGCCGGTCATTTCTTGGGTTTAAGCCAATGACAATGCCAAACAGCCACGAGTTGCCGGGTTCCCCTCGCATGGTTTCGACCGTTTCAGGTTTTGAGCCCCCATACAAGTCCAACCCATTGTGTAAGAGTTACGGGTGTCAGCCAAATTTTTCTTTACATTCCGATGCCCCGAGGATGTGGAGTGCCAGAGGCGGCCACGTGTAGTGGGCTCGTGTGCAGCCGTGGGCAATGCGTGGGCGAATTTGACTCGCGGAGAGTGCGGATTGCCAGAGCCACGCGAAGCTGAACATGCAAGGGCTTGCCAGCAGAAGCACGGCTCTGTTCCCTGGCAGGGGTCTTTTGCTACGAAGTCGTTCAATAGTATGAGGGTCGCTTCGTCGAAGTTGTTGTTGGGATGATGGGGTGCTGAGGTGCAGGCGGCCCTTGCAGCATGCAACCACTGTAGGTGGTTGAAGCACAAGAAAGAGTGGCGCTCGCGGTGCATTTACACGTTGGGCGATGGCTCGACAATGAGCTGGCTACAAGAGAATGAGCATGCTCGGGCATTTGGTTTATATTGCTCGGCTTGCAGGGCTCACAACCCGCGAGGCACATCACCATATATTGTGGGATCCAAGGGAGCAGTGCAGCCGCTTGTCAGAATGACTGTCTAGGAAATAGGCTTCTGAACTTCTGAACGAACATTCGGGTTGTTTCCGGATGCTGTAGCAGAGGCCGGGCAAGCGAGCCACTTTACAGATCTGTGACCTTCTTGATCATGCCACTACCCCTGGCCACTGTGCTGCTGTGCAAGCATTGGTCGGGGGCAAGCAGGAGGAGGAGACAAAGAACGAGGCCGCCCTAGGCCTCCCGACTTTGGCTCAGTTCAAACTGAGCAGAGAGGTGGCTGGAGAGAGCTTTTCAGCGCAAGGGGAAGGCATATGTCTAGGTACCAGCGCAGATGCCGGCTTGCAGGAAGGTCTGACGAGGCGAATTTCCCTGCGCAGCGAGCAAGTGCACAGCAACACTTTCAGAATATCAAGGCCATGGCAAGCCAAGCCTTTATAGACGACCAGGAATTGCTCAAGAGCGTGATCGCGATTGGCTGGGCGGAGGATGATTGTCAAGGGTTCAAAATCATTCGTATCAGAATGGTCACGAAAGACCTTCAAGTTGTAACGCGACTGTTCGACTTGAGCCGTTCAGCTCACAAGAAGGCGGTCCAGAAAGTCGAGCACGCGAAGGCAGCCATACATCAGGTTTTTCCCGAGCCGGAGCTGGAGAAGCGCTTCTGCAACTTGGTGAAGGCAGGATTATGTCGGCTTTGCGTGAGGATTCGGATAATAGTCTGCCAGCCGTGTTCCGGCATCCCTGGTATCAGGTGTTCACCACTGACGGTGAACCAGCCGAGCTGGCCGCAGCGGCCATATCGCACCCGACCATTTTCCCGCAATTGCGGGCAGTGTGGAGGTGCTTGTTGCACTCTGCGCAACGCTCTCAAGAGAATGCGATCAAGTCGTGCGACCGCGCGGCGCACCTCATGAGCGAGCTGATCAACAGGTTCAGTGATTCCAGTGGTGCCGGAGGTCTTGCCCGAGCACTCCACAATTCACCGTTGCTTCGGTCCAAGTTTCAGGCCGTCGAGGCACGCGACCTCGACGCATTGGGGACCCTCGCGAGCCCCGGCAGCTTTGGCAGACCATTGCTAGTAGAATACATAATTAATAATAATAATAAGTGCTTTTCGTGCAGTACCTGTAAGGCAAGCGTCGAGGTCGTTAACCTTTGCCCAACAGCGCTTTACAACAATAACGGAGGCCTTCCGGCTGGTGACCCTGCGTTGCAACACGGTTATATCTTTCCTGAGCGAGCTTCGCGCTGCGAGAGGCGCCCATGCTGCCTGGGCGGCAAGATTGTTAGACGAGGTTCCTCGGCGAAACGTTTAAAGTTTGGCAAACTGCAAATATAAGGAGCTTACATAGTCTATGGTACATTTATATATATAGAGAGAGAGAGTGTGTGTGTGTCCATTCACATATAATTTTATATTATATACCAGTCCATGGGCCTAGACCTTGTCAACCGACAACCTCATTCTCTGCGCCTTGCTTTCCGAATGGTCGTCGACTACCAGTGCGTTCATCCATTCGTGGGACAACAGCGGCAGAGACCGGGGAGGGCGTGCAAAGGCGGCCCGGAATGAGGTGTCTCAGATCGCTTTCATGTCGCGCGGCGTGCGGTTGCTCAAGCAGGACGGGTTCATTGTACTGGTGCTGTTGAATAATTCCTATGCTGTGCGACGCAGGAACTTGCGAAGCTCTTTGAGTTCAGTGGCCCGAACAGCTCCACCCCGCCCTTGGTGTTGGACTTGGAGCGCTACAGTTCTGGCTTCGTGGCCCTGCTACAGAAAGCTCTGGTGAAGCGTGCCTTGTTTGCTTATCCTTGCTACGATGATGTTAAGTTGTGTGGTTCGGGCTTTGTGGGAGTATAACGGCAGCTGCTACCTCGTCGGCAGGAGACCCAACAGGCAGCTGTGCCATCGTGGGTGACGGGGAGCTGCTCTTCCATCGCGCAGGTGCACATGATCGGTGTTGTGCGGAGCATTGTCTAGCATGACTTCGAACCTTTACTTTTCTTTTGAACAGGACTTTCCGCTCGCGAGTTCAAACAAGCAGTGGTCAAACAGCTTGGGTGCATTCGCAATTTGACCGACGTCTTTCTTCGATCCATCGCCGCGGAACACCAAGCCGGGATCGGCGAATGCTTTGGTGCACTGGATATAGAGAAGGGCGCGGCAGCCAGGCATCAGCAATTTCTCGTTCAATATGCTTGTGACCAGGGAGAAGACTCTTTCATTTGTCTGCGGTGCGGAGGCCTGCTCTGCTTGAACCCCTCGCGAAACTACTCGGATCTTCTGCCGCGACCTGAGTGCATTACGCTTCAGCGGGTCAGTAAAGACGATAATGCCTCTGTCAAGGGCAGCGAGCTCGCCAAAGAGATCAATGCTGTGCGGCCGACGTGCGAGCAGCTCATACAGCTTCAGCCTGAGCATCCCAGACCGTCTAACGGTTGGATAGCAGTAGCATGAGTCCCAGATCTTGATCCTGTGTGTTGAAAATTCCGTAATGACGAGTTTTGGTTTTTGGAATGCATCGTCTGCTTCCTCCTATATTAATACTCTTACAGATAGGATGGTGAGAAGTCAAATGCATCAGATCTTTGTAGATTATGCAGATGTTGGTAAGGTCGGGCATTTCATCTCCTCTGGAGTATTGGGCGGAAGCCTTGAAACACTGGGGAAAACGAGTGCCAGTGCTTCGCGAGGCTGTTCTGACCTCGGTTAGAGATTGCGAGATGTATCGACATGGGTTTGGCCAATCATTCTATATTGATCGATCTGTCTTCCGAGGTCGTTGTGATGCTCTGCATGTTCGAGGGGACGGGGCTGTTGGAGCAGAACTTATCATCATTCAGAGCAATGCACCATGACCAGAAGCGCAACACGTCCCCGGACACCCTTCGTTGCCTTCTGAAGGTGATGGTTGATTGTGACCCCGTGGTGACATTCAACATCTTGACAAAGGAGTATAAGCTCACTGATTTTGGGATTCGCGCTTACAACAGGTACCGCTCCTTGTTCGGTGCAGCCAGAAATGCGCCAGCCTCCTTGTTGCCCCGTAGGACTATGAACCGTCGATGTTCTTCGACGGGACTTGCAGCTTTGAAACGCCTGCAAGCGCAACAGAAGGCAGACGCCGTCCCCAAGGAGTTGCCGCTGGAGGAAGCGAAATCCTTGAAGCGTGCCCTGGACACGTCTGCTGAGGAACATTCCACGAAGCGGCAGAAGAAGATGGTGGTTGCTTTGGCAGAGCGAGTGACCGCCAAATTGGCCTTGGTTTCGCCGGCCACTTTTGCGAAGGATGCACGTGAGCGCTTACAGAAGCTGCAGCTTCAGGATGAAGAGGAGTTCAAGAAATTGGACGGCATGCAGTTGCGGGAGCTGAAAACGGCTGAGATTCTTGGGGATGCACAGAATGGCCTGGCCGTTTGCATTATCAGCAAGAATGAGATTCCCAATGCAGACAAGATCGTCAAAGACAAGGCAAAGGCGTTGTCTCAGCTTTGTGGGCTGCGTGTTTGTCATTTGACAAGCAGCAGTCTAGTGGCAAGGTGTTTGCGGGCAAAGTTTGTTATTTTTCTTGCAACCTCGAAGGAGGCAGAGGCAGGCTTGATTTATCATGGCAGTGAAAGTCATCAAGGTCTCGATCTCGGGGCTTGCGTCAGCCGGCTGGTGGGAGGATTCGTAGCGGGGCCGGCTTGGATGGCAGAGTGCCTTCGTCGTGGACAGCTTTTGACTCCCTTGCTTCGTTTGAGCCCGGCTGCAAAAATTCAAAGGCAGGGGTGGGATTCTGTGACAGTTTGCCACAACAAGTTGCAATTCTCAAGCTACTTTCTGCTATTGAGAGCGATGAACTGGGATTTCGGCACTGGATCATTCGATCCAGCAGAGAAGCGCTGACACTAGCTACGACTTTATTCATATGTTAATGACCTTCCGTGGCTTTGTAAACCCTAAGCCTAGGACCTGTAAACTTATGCACTCTATCCGAATCAAGGTCCCGAAAAGCTTCTTGGTGGGTGGTGGGAGATTCGTATAAGCCCGCTGCTGGTGATGAAAAACTTCCTGGAAAGATCATCTCGTACAAGCAGTTCCTCCATCTGATCACGACGCATCTTTGTCATAATTGCTTTGGAGCTGTTACTTGTGTGGTGCGAGTTTCCGGTTCTCGATGATGGTTCGTGGCAATGCAACTTAGGTGGGGATGAGTGGCAGTCTGTGCTTTGCTGCGCTGGCCCGGTTGATGTGCAACATAGTCATAAACAAATATGCTACACGTAGAATGAACTGTCCGGGTCAGTGCTGCTGAAAAGATCCGGAATGCTTGGGGCTTGGCCTCGCGGTTCAGAAAGAAACACGGCGAGCTGTTTGCGTGCTGCTTGAGTTAAGTGCATGGAAAATCCGCCCAGCCGAATTTTAAATAGCTATCATTTCGGAAAGATCTTGCTTGCAGGCAGACGAGCGCCGCGCTGGAATCTTGAGCATATTTGCAGATGGAAAAAAGATTGGCTCTCTTTCCGTGCAAGCCTCTCTTGAAGATGAGCCTGTTATACTTTTGAAGATGATCCTGCTGAGCATATATTCAGACCCCCAGGCCCCGGCAAGGAAAAAGGGCACCCTTATCAGGGAGAGCCCACTCAAGAACCAAGTGTATATATATATATATATATGTATGTATATATGTATATATGTATATGTAGATACATATGCAAATATATATATATATATATATATACACATATATACACACTGTGTTTACTTGTTTATACAGGTTAAAGATTGAACCCTAGGTTTTTGCAGTGTGGTACATGCCTCCCGGACCTGTTTCTATCTGTCTGGGGTCGTTACTCACCCCACGAGCACGGATGTGCTGCACCTGGTCCACATCGCCCCTTTTGCCTTGAACCGCCTTATAAGATGCTTCCGTCTCGGGTAGCCATCTACCCCTTGCCCGCCTAAGCCGAAAACCCGGAACTGTAAACCCGAAATACATCCTAAACACTGTAAACCCCGCACATCCCAGAATGATGACATGTTACTGTGAATTATAAACATCCCTCAACCCCTAAACCGTTAAACCATAGACCCGAAACTCCTAAACCCCAAACCCCTAAACCAGCCCGTTACTTCGGGGGCAGCCCGCCGAGGCCTAAACCCGCCTGGACCCTGCGGGATTCGGGCTTCGGAACATCTTCCACCAGCACCGGCTCCTCAGGCTCCAGATGCGGGATACTTGGTTAAGAAATAAAGGGATCTATTATAAGATTTCGCTTAAGCGTTCCAGCTCAGGCTCCAGCTGAGGGATCATGGGACTTATTAGGGTTTTAGGGGTGTGGGGGTTAGGGTTTTAGGTGTAATTAGGGTTTAGGGTTGTGTAGGTAGCCTCAGGCTCGAGATGCGGGATACTTGATTAAGGAATAGCTAGGGTTCCTTTAAAGGGATCTATTATAAGGGTTCGTTTAAGCGTTCTAGCTCAGGCTCCAGATGCAGGATAGAGTAACGGTTTAGGGTTTTGAGGGATTTGGGGTTTAGGAAATATGGGGTTTAGGGTTTAGGGAATACAGGGCTTAGGGAATATAGGGTTAAGGGTTTTGGGTTCCTCAGGCTCCAGATGCGGGATACTTGATTAAGGAGTACTATAGGGTTCCTTTAAAGGGATCTGGAAGGGTTCCTTCAAGGGTTCCTGGAAGGAATCTATAGGGTTTAGGGTCTAGGTGAGCCCAGACTTGGAGGATCATGAGACTTAGTAACTTAGTAAGTACATAAGGTTATAAGTACCTTAAGTCTTGTGGAATTGTAAGTACTTATAAGTACAGTTACCCCTTATCCATACAGCTATCCATAACCCTACCTTACTTAGAACCCTAGTTACTAAGTCTCATGAACCTTTTCGTAGAGTTGGGGTTGTGGGTTGATCAGGTTGCATAGAGGTTTCATTGGGATTTAGGAGTTTGGATTCTGGGTTTTGGCTTGATCGACCGTCGCCCCATTGAAGGTCTGTGGCTTCAAAGTAGAGGACTCTACAACACCATGAGTAGCTTCGCTTAACGTTTCCTTCTCGGGTGCCTTTTGTAGCCGAAAACCTTTCTGACTCTTCCCAAGGGGTTCCGGGTACCCCTTCATGGCAGTTGGAGATGATGCTATAAAGAAATTCTACGTTGATCTACCAACACCCACGTTTGCACAGGTTCCTTGTGAATACTGTAATTGGGGTTGACTTCTCGTCAAAGGAACCTACACAACATGTGAAGTTATGGTGGGGTTCGGCCGGGGTTCTACGGGGTTAAGTAGGGAAGGCCAGCTTACTGCGAGAGATATACTTGGACGCTTACTGGACCCGGTGCAGCATGTAAAGTTTTAGAATATCGAGTCTTCCGTGAGCCTGGAAATCTCAAACTCACACCAGAAACTGAAAACCCTTAGCCGTAAGCCCCAAGCCCTGAGCCCTAAGCCCAAGCCGAATGCCCAAGCCCTCAAAACCCTGGATCAGGGTTTTCGATGAAGCATTCATGGAACTTTGCAGATTAAAACTCCGAACCCGTATACCTAAACCAACCGGAAAAACACATTATAGCCATGCAGAGCCGTTGTATGCCAGCAATACCCTTACTACTAGGCCCCTTGGCAAAACCTGGCCTAACCCTCAGCCAACAACGCTGGTAGGAACCTAAAATGAGTTCTACAAAACTTCATAGAATCTTGTATCTTATGGTATGACAGTAATAGGAATTTTAAACTGAGCCCTACAAAATTGCATAGAACCAAAACCAGAACAAACGTCGCAGTTCGCCATGAACAGGCGGAAGTGTTTTTTGCGTGCTCCAGCCGTCTCCTCAGTGTACCCTTTGAGTCTTTACGGGCGGTTTGGGGTTAAGTCGGCCACGGTTTAGGGGGTTCTGGGGTCGGGTATAGGATCTTGCGGTTTAGGCTTCTCAAGACGGGCCTTGAGGTACGTGTGGCCTTGAAGTGGCTCCTCTAAGGGTTTCGGTTTATTGGGCTCAGGGTTCCCTTGAGCCCTAGAAACTAAGCAGCTCTAAACAAAGGCCTGACTTAGAGGGCCTTTCTTTAGGGCAGAGTCTATCATGATATCCCTGCGTCGAGAGGAGACCAGGGGGGATTCGGGTCTTGTGGGGGTTTGGGGGTTTCGTTTTGGGGTTTTGAGTCTCTGTTTTGGGTTTTTGCGGTTTGGGGTTTAGGGTTCAGGGCCCTAAATCCTAAATCCAAGGCCCCTTTATAGAACCCCATAGCGCCCTTAAGGGGGGACCCTATTCTAGAACCCTATAGCACCCTTAAAGGGGACCCTCTACGTAGAACCCGATATAGTACCCTTAAAGGGGACCCTAAATCCTAAAGCCTAAATTTGGTGATTAGGGCTTCCCCGGGCTTTGCGGTTTCTAGCGGCCCAGGGGCTCTTTTGGAGCTTTGGCTTTATGCTTGGAGGGCTTAGGGTTTAGGGTTTATCATTGGGGTAATTCCATTTAGGGTACTTTTATGTTTAGGGTTTAGGGTCATGTAAAGGGGCAGGGGACTTAGTAAGTCGTTGATAAGTAGGGTCATAGTTGGGGTAACTCCATTTAGGGTACTTATAACTCTGCTTCTAATACTAAGTCCCCTGCCCCTCCAAGTAGGGCTAATATGCGTATCACGGCTTCAATCGGGCTGCATCGAAATACGGCTTCTTGGGCTTTTGATGATAAGGCCTTATGATATGTTCAGAAGGCTTAGGAACTCTAAACTCTAAACAAATGAGTGCCTTATGGTGGTTCTTAGGATTCTTGTAGGGTCTTGTGGGCCACGACCCCGACAAAGGCAGATCAATTACTGCAACCTTGGTAATCGAACTGCTGGTGAAAACCTACATCCCCTACACCCATAATCCGCCCCCCTCCAAAAAGCACACACACACACAAAGAAAAAAAACATAAATGTTTAAACCTTCCGCATAATTTCGCAGACCCAGAGGGTCCCTGTACACCGCCACTACCATGAACTTAGGTACCAAAAGCTCATACATGGTTTGGTTTTAGTGCCCTTATCCCGTAACATTAGTATATGTGTTTGGCGTTCGTCTGGTTGACTCTTAGGACTTTAACTGTTTGGTTTTCCATATGAACTATAATTATCAGGCTAAAAGTTTAACTTTCAGGAGGAGTTCAGAAGTCGGCCAAGTATGGACCGCTGGATACCATGCTGAGGTAGCTTCCGCTTCTGAGTCCACACAGAGCACTGGTGGAGGGCCAGAGTGGGTCGGATTTAAGTGTTTAGGGTTTAAGGTTCAGAGTTTCAATATGAGGTCGAGGGTTTAGGGCTTAAGGTTCGGAGTTTAAAGTTGAGGTTGAGGGTTTAGGATTTAAGGTTCGGAGTTTAAAAATGAGGTTGAAGGTTTAGGGTTTAAGGTACAGAGTTTAAAGATCGAGCTTGAGGGTTTAGGGTTTAGGCTTTGAGCTCGAGGGCTTACGGTCTAGGATTTATAGAACTATCTTTCCTGTGGCAGGCTGCCATCGCGGATACCCTAGTCAAGCGGTCCTTGCGTTGATACTACTTCGTGGACAGCCACCATGAAGCATAAGGTTCGGAGTGAGCCGATGGCTAACATCGTCAACAGGACTACAACTTGAACCTCAAACTCCCTGTATTAAGTACGTAACTGCAACCCCGCAGTGGTCAGTACCAATGACGTATTTCTATTTCAAAACTGGCAGTTACAGCCCACAAGGTCGGCCACCTGCATTCGGGACACTAGGTTTCAAGATCTATGCAGTTCTCTAGGCCTCTAGGCTAGCATGTCTTTTGAAGGCCCCCCCACTCCACAAATAGTGTGGCACCCTCACAACCCTATACCCTAAACCCCTAAACCCCTAAACGACCCCAAACCCCGAACTCAGAGAACTGCTCCCTTG